AGAAGAGAAGGAAAAAGAAGAACCTGGAATGACATCATCAAGAAATGGACAGGACTAAGTTATCATAGACTTATTCATCAAGTGGAAGACAGAGAAAGATGGCAGATTTTGTGTGTTAGTGCCTCCATCCATACACCTCCACAACCCTAAAGGTTGTTATGTTATGTTTTGTGCTGCATTTAGAATATTTGACCAGATTTCTTTTGCATACCCAGACCGAACATGAAATAATTAATAACACACCATATGTAGTGTTACTGAGCACATATGATGTGAGGCCTTGGACGGAAAAAGTTAACAAAGATGTTTTCATTAGCTAGATACTCCTAAACCTACAACTATGCAACAGAGAGCAAATTCTTACCTAGCCATTGACGCAGCACTACAGGTTTAAAAATTTTTTACTAACCAAGCTTATAAAAGGTTAAAAAGGTTTAAGTCGAGAGGATCGACCTCATTGTGCCAAGTTTGATCCCATTTGGCTTCGTCTCTCTCTCTGCAGACAGGCTAGCCACCTGCAGAGAGCGTCATGCAGAGCACGAACTCTGTAGCTGTGGTGACGATCCCAGGGATCTCTGTAAAAATTACACTCGTGAACTGAAAGGTGTAGTTGTGAAACAAAACCTCGACCATCAGAACGCGAGGATAATGGCTTGACCACTTCGCCATGGAGACCCCCTCCCAAGCTTATGTCAAATACAAACACATAAAGACCATAATACTAGGTCTAGTTTTTTTCAGTCATTTTAAAGGAGAGACACAATTGGTTTATTCAGAAATTCAGCTGAAGCATTGAGGCAGTGTAATAGGAATGTAACTTATTTTTTTTTTTTTTTTTATGTGGGTGTAAGAGCATACAGAAGATCCATGTTTCTGTAATTTGTTTGAGAGGGGGGGGGGGGGGGGGGGGGGGTAGGATTAATCTTATATATGTATGTTTTTATTTCATGTCATTATACCTGTATTTCTTTGTATATTTCAAATTTTACTGTGTCCGTATTTATTTCTCTATTTTCTTAATAATTGTGTCCATATTCCTTTGTGAATTGTTTATATTGTTAGACCAATATTGCTGTTATTTTCTGTATTAGTACATCTGTATTTCTTTGCATATATTCTGTATTATTATGTCCAGATTGCTTTGTGTATTGTTTATATTATTAATCCATTTTCTTTACATATTGTTTGTTATTATACCCATATGTGTGTGTATATTTTATGTTATTATATCAGTATTTCATTGTTGAGTTTCTCTATTATTATATCCACGTTTCTTTGTATATCTGTAAATGTTATTATTTTCAAATTTTTTTGTTTATTTTATGTTATCATACTCATATTAATGTTCCTATTTTGTTTTTTATACCCATATTAGGGTTTCTGTTTTATGAGTATATGTCATTGTAACCATATCTGTTTGTGTATTTTGTATATTTCTTACAACTTTATGATTAATGACAGATCATCGACAGATGAAAACAGTGGGAAAGTTCAGATCATAGGCAACAACAACATGTTTGAGGTTGGAGCCAGTATCCTTGCCACAGTATTTGAACCTGTTTCATGTGTGCTTTACATCTATTATTTATAGCTCATTAACTACCATATTTACTGCATGCTTTGCCAGATTTATATTAACAAGGCAGACCTGAAAACTCTGGGATAACTGTTATGAAGGTCCTTTGCAGAACGTCACTGTCTTCGCAGCCTGGAAGAAACTCTCTCTCTCTCGCTATGAAGATATACAAAGTTGAAAAGTTGATGATAACGTGTATATGTTATTGGGAAAAGATCTTCACCTTTTTGCCCTGAGAAGCCACAACACTGACACTTCTGTTTGGGCTCAGTTCCCTGTAAATTTGATTATCCCTGACAATTTTTCTTGCTTGAATTATTATCTGAATAAGAGGAGTTTCTGATAAGAAGAACCATTTCTTAGGTTTCTTTGTGAGTTTTCTCCTTATATGGTCAGCACTGTATTAGTCATTGAGTCCCAAAAAGTCAACAAGAATTCCCTACAAGAGTATATACATTTGAGCCTGTGGAATTAGTACACCTATGAGTTTTTTGTTATTGTTGTTGCTTCACCTGGCGATGCATAGGTGCAGAACCACACGTAGTTGTGCATCAGGACCAGAGCACAAACTGGTCAAGAACTGTCTGCACCTCTGTGCAGTCCTTCTAGAAACGTCTTCCTTACGAGGAGCCTGGTCTGCATTGATAGGATCGCTTTTCCTTAGAAGTCAAAGTGCATCTGCCTGAGAGGTAGGGAACCAGCAGTCTGTACACAATAAGCCAGAGCTGTAAAAGTGATGTTTACAAAACACTCAGGTTCTGAAACATGATCAAAGTCAAGAAGTAGACATGCAGCCTGGATTTTTTGCCTGAGTTGACAGCCAGTGGACGCTAAGAAGAAGATGACTGCATCAGTTGAATATCAGTTAGGACTTTCTGGCATTGAAACAGTTAATGGCAAGGTTCACTAGGTGATGATTGTTGTGGCTGTATGAGTGTCAGTGAATGTGTTCACACTTTATTGATCTTCACAGTGCCTGCGTTCGATTTTCGTGGTGGATGGTCTATTTTAAAAACAATGTCCTATGACTTTCAGACATTGGTACGAGTGTTGCACTTTGGAAAAGGATTGGGACCTCACTACATAAACTTCCCAAAGCAGCAGTGGTTGCACTACATTGAGTTAGTTAGTTAGGTTATCATCATTGCACTCCGTACATGTCCATAGGTGCTCAGATTCTCCTTCCCCTCCCCAGTATGAGCCCCGTGTCCGGTGGCTAATAGTACCAGTTCTATGTTGATTAACAAGTCCTCCTTTGCTATGCCCATCTCAACTCCTAAGTCTATCATTATCTTAACTCCTCGGTCTATCATTCTGGCGAGTGATGTGGGTTCACTGCCCCCAAAGTTCTCCAACCTTCCAATTTTTCTCAGGGCATTAATAATATCAGCATGGTCCACAGGTTGACCATCGGTAGTGATAGCGGATCCAGCCAACCTATCAGCTTTTTCATTTCCATCGACGCCCGCATATCCCAGAACAAAAATGAAAGTGACTCAACATGCAGTGGACTTCTGTAATGATTCAAGCCATTGCCTTCGTACCAAACCTGCCTAAACCCTCAGGATCCTACTCACTGAATCACTGAATACACATATCCGGATGTAGTTATGTGTTTCGCTTGCGTTACTGCCATCACCTCCATCGGCATACTACTGGTTGTCATTGAGAAGGCACTGTTAGCTTCTTTGACAGCTCTGCAACTAACCTTCATTGTTTTGTGATAAATGTATGTTCATACTGTTCGTGTTACCATTGCTTTAACTTGCACAGATGTGGAATCTATCCGTGTTGGAGATAACAATATTATCGAAAGCAAAGGTATGTGCCTGTGTGATGAATATGATGACTAAAACTGACTAAAATTTGTTGTGTTCTTCTGTATAGATGTGAATGATGAGTTATGGCAGAGATTAATAGAGATATATTTTATTTAGAACCATGTTGGAAATGTCACAGACAGATGAAAACAGATGCTGAAGTATTGAGATCCACAATGCTTACACGATCACTAATAAAAACCACAAGGAAAAGACTGATACAAATTTGTGAGGAATATCAACAGAAGAGGTAGGGCAAAGAAATTATTCTCATGTAGGAAAATAACCAGTCAACAGACAGAGGAAGATTGATGAGGAAAGCTTAAGCTGGTAGGAGAGAAATAATAATATAAGCATCACCATATAGTCATCACCAATTTCACTCTATAAGCATCACCAGTTTCACCATATAGGCATCACCAATTTGGGGAGAGAAACAATTTATAAAAGCACCCGGGTTTTATTCCATGTGGCTCAGTCTTCTTCACAGAGAAGCTGATCGCCTGCAGAGTGCAGTGTTTTTTGTTAGATTAGCCTTGGAGGACACAGATCTCTCTCACCAGGATTTTTTTAAGGGGGAGGGGGCATAATGTTTTGGCCATTTTATTACACAGATCATAAACTTTAAGGCTTCAGTAATGATCCCCAGAGATAGTTGAAGAAAAGTCACTAGTGAGCCAAATAGCACCATCTTAAAATGAACGCATAGCTTTCAGAGGGCGAAGTGAGGGGTTTGACCAGGAAGAGAATTAAACTTAGATGGCTAAACAGTCCATGTTACCAGGGAGGGCATTTAACTCAGATGGCTAAACAATCCATTTTACCAGGGAGGGCTTTCAACTCAGATGGCTAAACAGTCTACGGTACCAGGGAGCTCATTCAACTCAGATGGCTAAACATTCTACAGTATCAGGGAGGGCATTCAACTCAAATGGCTAAACATTCTACAGTACCAGGGAAGGCATTCAACTCAGATGGCTAAACAGTCTATGGTAACAGGAAGGGTATTCAGCTCATGTAGCTAAACAGTCTAGAGTACCAGGGAGGGCTTTCAACTCAGATGGCTAAACATTCTCATTTCTTGCTTATAATGAATTATATCACTGGTTTCAGTCCTAGTGTTATTTTAATTTCTTCAGTTTAAATGTTATCTCTTCTTGTTTCTCCGGCATCTCTTCTAAGACATCTCATCTCTGTTGCTAAGATTTTGCATTCGTCAGTCCATGTTTGAAATTGATTGCATTGTTTTATCAACAGTAGTTCTTATAAGATTAGCCTCTGTAGACAGACATTTCTCTCAAGGAGATATTTTGGAGCATCGTGCTTCTGGTCATTTTATGAAAAGAGGGCAACTGGACCATATTGTGACAGCTGGAAAAATTTGTTGAAAAGGAGATGGAGGAAGGTGATGCGAGAAGATTCTGAGCAGCCTTTCGTCATGGCATTGAGGGGTGTCAGCACATGAACTGATACATGCTGTTGTAGATCACAGGTTGTGGCTAGGCATGATTGCCCAACCCAGTTAGCAAGGTTTTTGATGATGATGCTGATGATGATGATCTTTCCTAAAGTCATGTTTATTTATAATGTGTTCTATGTCAAAGCAAAAATTGGAACCAAGGTGGAGGTTGCAAATGGTTGTATAATCGGTGCTGGCTGTGAACTAAACATGGCTGAGCTGCTTCCTGACAATACCGTCATCTACGGAGAAAATTGTGAACGGAGAATTCAGCGAGAGAAACCTTCTGTAAGTGAAATGATTTTATGGGATAGTTTCTTTAAATGACAGGAGACAGCTAAATTGATGTTCTTGTTCTTCAGCATTCTGGGGCCTTGAGATTAATTGCTGCAGATATCACCCGTCTCTATTCGTCTTTATGATTGGCTTTCTCTTTCCCACTTGGTGACTCCAAGTGTTTGTAAGTCTGCCTGTATATTATCTCTCTCTTGTCTTCTTGTGTTTGCCTTGTGGTATAATCCCATTAAACTCTGTTGTGTACTTTTTTAAAATAAAGAAGATGCAAACAATAGATTGCTCAATTTATATTGCCTGGCATATTTCACTGTATCTCGTCAGGTGCATACTACTGTAACAGTTGCGTAAATGAAGCAAATAAGTGAATCCTTTGTAATTGAAGTACAAACTCTAGTCAAACCCAACTGCCTGTTTTACCAAGGAAAACATTGCTTTGATCTTTTGTGTACACTGTTTTTGTCTCTTTGTTATCTGCCATTCTCTCCATATGCTGCAATTACACAGCATGTTAGCCCCCCGTGAAGCAGCAAATCTCCTTTGTTTCCATCTTTGATGTGCCCAAAGATTCATTATAAGACCCTGTTTTCAAAAGTTGGTAATAAGACTTTGTTTTTCATAGCTGTACTCTGGGTTTCAGCTGAATTGCTACATCAGAAAGTATAAAGAACTAAAAACATGTGAATGACACACATACATACCCACAGGGAGAGAGAGAGAGAGAAAGCGATGCATGCAGAGAGATTATGGATTGCTGTTCTGTTATTTCTCATTTTGTGGGATTTATTATAGGCTACTATTGACATGGTCTGCACAGAGACAAATCCTACACATAGCATTGACAAAACCTCACACAGTTTATGAGGTTATGTGCCACTCCACAATCTTTCCAGCTTTGTATCTGCCCATGAACTGATGTGACTGACCATAAACTTATTTGACTGTCCATTAACTTGTGTGTCTGTCCATGAACTTATGCGCCTGTCCATGAACTGATGTGACTTTCCATGAATGTATGTGACTGTCCATGAACTTATGTGACTGCCTATGAGCTTATGTGACTGCCTATGAACTTATGTGACTGCCCATGAACTTATGTGACTGCCCATGAACTTATGTGACTGCCCATGAGTTTATGTGACTGCCCATGAACTTATGTGACTGCCTATGAACTTATGTGACTGCCCATGAGCTTATGTGACTGCCCATGAACTCATGTGACTGCCCATGAACTTATGTGACTGCCCATGAACTTATGTGACTGCCCATGAACTTAACTTATGTGACTGCCTATGCGCTTATGTGACTGCCTATGCGCTTATGTGACTGCCTATGAGCTTATTTGACTGCCTATGAACTTATGTGACTGACCATTAACTTATGTGACTGCCTATGAGCTTATGTGACTGACCATGAACTTATGTGACTTACCATTAACTTATGTGACTGCTCATGAACTTATGTGTCTGCCCATGAACATATATGACTGCTCATAAACTTATTTGACTGTCCATGAACTTATATGAGTGCCCATAAATTAAAGTGACTATCCATGCGTTAATATGACTACCCATACAGTTTTATAACTGTCCATGAACTTATCCATTAAAAATCAATGCTGTGGTTTTAGATATTTCCACTAATGGTTAATTTTGTGGTTTTGCAGGTTCAGGCTCTGCAGATAGATTTCCTGACAAAAATTATGCCCAATTACCATTACTTGATCAAGCCAAACATTCAACCTCGACCACAAGCAAGTATCAAGAAATAGTGTCCTTATATTTTCTACACAACCTTTGCCTTATGAACATCTTTTTTTTTCTCTTCTAATGTTAATGTGCTAAGAATCCAGGTAAAGTTAAACATATCATTTTATTGATTAATGTACTGTTACTTTTTTCATCTTCTTCTTCTTCTTTGTTCACCGGCTGTAAGGTCCAGCAGGAAGTCCTGGCTGTTTGGACTTTGGCTTTGTGCCAGGGCCTGAGTTTTGCCTGTAGATTTATTTTACTGGCTTATTTGTGTGCAGTTGGTTTTTCTTGCCGCTCGGGCAGAGGCACTCTAACTTCGAAGGCAATTCCTAATTAGGAGACTCCTACGACATGCTTGATGGGAAGGCAGTGGGTCTATTCTTATTTTCCCCACAATGGGGCCCCGGAACCCACACAGGGATTCTTTTTTTTTTAAATTTAGAGTAACTTTAAATTTTAGTTAATTATGTGGAGAGCTCAAATACAGACAGACCTAAAATTACGGACAGTCACCAACTGGAAAGAGAAGGTAATTGCAGGGATGAATAGCTGCGAGTGATTTATGTAATAATAAACCTCATTGCCTCAGAGTGCTGAAAAAGAAGAAGAATTAAATAGTTGTTGCTATTTATTAATGTCCTACCCAGATGACGTGACAGGACAGTCTAACATTTTAGAGGGTGGTAAGACCAGGTTTCCTGGCTTTCTGATGCTTTTAACAACCCCAGGCAGGAACTGGCCCTAACCCCAACGCACCTACGTCCCACTAGAGAGTGCAGCCTAGGTCCCACGACTGAATGCAGCCTATCTACTACCCCCTGAATTATTAGACTGTCCCTTGACCTGTTTGGGGTAGGATATTAATAAAGCACCTATTTTGTTAATCTGCTTGAGTTTGTTTGCCTTAGATTGGTGGAAATATTGTAGCTTTTCTGTAAACAGGCACAGTGTATATATAGGGGGCTGCGTTAGCGCAGTTGATAAGAGGCTCGCTTTCAAATTCAGCTGCGACTCGGTCGGTGTTTGAAATCGGGTGGCTCCCGGGGTTCTCCCAGCCTCTAGGAAATGGTTGACACTCTGGGGTAAATGGAGGAACGTCGGTGTAGCTACAGAGTTATGTGCGAACATCGACACAGGCGGACAATTCTTATCAGCTGTCCGTACTGGTGGCAGAGCACTTATGGTTTATAACCGTGTGCAATGACGCTGGTTCACTTCTGCCAACTTTACTTTTAGTGTATATATGTTTTAAAAAAACATATTGGACAGAGAATAAGAAAAAGCTTTATTAATTTAGGAGCCTCAGTAGCCCATTGGGTGGATGCTTGCCTCCCAGCCTGATAGTCTTTGGTTTGTATCTTCATTGAACTGGATTTTTTTAATTAACCTTAGGCTCACAGGTCGACCAGGCCTACAATGGGCGCCAGGAAATGCTCAAGGAAACAAATGTGGTTGGCATGATGTTGATCAGCTGACTGCTCTATACACAAATGGATCTAGTGTCAGATTCCCTGTATTCCCTTGTGTGGGTTCCGGTGTTCTAGAAAGAATAGACCCTCTGTCCCCTTAATAAGCATATCATGAAAGGCGACTGAATGGAGGTTTTTTTTTTTTTTCTTTTCTGATTCGAAGTGCATCTGCCTGATAGACGAGGAACCAATAAACTACATACAAATAAGCCAGATCATTCCATGGATGTGTGCACAAAACAATCATGTTCTACAGTTAGACCATTGTCCAGAAGTGGATGAACAATCAGATGTTATAATCAGAGTTTGCAGCTGGTGAACGCTAGCAAGAAGAAGAAGAAAAGAATAGACCCACTGCTGCCACTCCTCCCCCCTCCCCCACTTTTCTTTTTTTACCAATAAGCCTGCCCTACAGTTAGACTGTCGGTTTGCTGAAATTGGATGTGTTGGGCCAAAATGTGCAGATATTTGGGCCTAGCTGTAAACCACAATGTGCCAACCACCCTTTTAAGGGCAGCACAGAAGAAAACATGCCATAGATGTCAATGGCATTTAAAGTTATCTTTTACTTAAGATCTCTGCAGTGTTTATTTCCTTCCATAAAGTGAAACAGTGACAGAAACAACTGTACTTTGTACTATTTTACTGTTTGTGTTTATTTATTACACCTTCTTTTCATTTTACTTATTTGTTATATTTTTTACTCCTTTCGGCACCAAGCTAAGCAAGTTCCATTCTAAGAATGTATTACTTTAAATAATAATTGGACCTGAAAAATTACAAATAAAGCATCATGGGGCCGATAAGTTATGGATTGAAGCAAACAGGGTGAGATAACTTGATGGGTCGCAAGGAGTTCAGAAAAGTAGATCATATCAGTCAAACACAACAAACATAGTGAGTTCCTTGGTACTAAATGAGTTAAATTTCCCTCTTTGAACAGATTTATATTCTTTATTTCACATGTTTTACTCACTTCATTTATAAATGTTAAGTACAAGACACATGATATGTTTTATTGATACTGATTCAGATCACATATAAAACAATGTCACATGCATTTATTGTTTCTGGATTTTGCCAGAACTAGTTGTATATTCACTAGTTTTAAATATGTCAGTCAGGAGCATTCTATGTGATTTATGCTGACACAAGAACGGATTAGTTATGGGGTGACCTGTGCAGTGAACTTGAAATTATGATAACCGATATGTAAAACAAAAAGTTGTTTTAAATTCTAATATTAATAACTGGTGTACTGTATCAAAAGGCTTTCGTCTGCACTTTCAAAATCCCCACTTTCTAAATGAACGTTTTCTTGTGCCATGCCAGAGTGTTTTATTAATTAACAAAAATAATTTGTGAAACAAGTAGGTTTATACATATATTTATTATGCCATTTACACAGGGAGCCCGCATGATATAGCAGCGGGTTCTCAACCTGGGGGTCGAACAACCCTTTCACAGGGGTCGCCTAAGACCATCGGAAAACACATATTCGCTGAAGCTATGAAGTAGCATCAAAAATAATTTTATGGTTCGGGGGGTCACCACAACATGGAGAAGCGTATTAAAGGGTCGCATCATTGGGAAGGTTGAGAACCAGTGAACTAGATGCTCACCTGTGGTTTCAAATGTTGTGGGTTCAATTTCAAATGTAGCCAGGCTTATTACTCAGTGTGTGCCAATTGTTCTGTACAATACAGGTCGAGTGCTACATGCCTGATGTGCCTGGAGGTGTGGAAAGTGCTCTTTTATTTATATAAATGCTCCCCTTCATCCATTTATTCTTGCTGTTGTGTCCTGTTGGACGTAGGGTACTGTGCTCCTGCCTTGACCGCCTGCATTTACGGTTTTTGTTGGTTATTTTATGAAAATCTGCTTATGTTTATCTTGCAAACTATATCAGTTTATAGACTTTAGTCACATGTTCCTTTTTTATTTATTACTTAGTTGCTCCTCTTCTACCTTGGGTCGTAGAGTTTTGCCAGAGAGATCGCCAGACGTCTCTATCAGCATTTTTATTATTTATTAACTGCTCCTAATGTACATATTGTTGGACAGTTAAGTTGTGTATCCTTTACAGGACGTTGCAGAACCAACCCCAGCATTTTTTGGCTGTTGTGGTTTTCCTAGGCAAGTTTACGTCCAGTAGTTTTATTGTTGGACAGTTAGTGACAAATTACGTGGAAGCGACGGAGAGTGGTTTGTAAATGTATGCTGAGAATAACCTGGACAGATAAAAAGAGAAACGAAAATCTCTTGAAAGAAACTGATGGTGCTTTAATATTATCCTACCCCACACATGGGAAATCCACAGGTCACGGGACAGTCTAATATTTCAGGTGGTGGCAGATAGGCTGCATACAGTCGTGGGACCTAGGCTGCTCTCTCTTGTGGGACGTAGGTGGGTTGGGGTTAGTTCCAGTTCTAGATTTTTTGGGGGTCGTTAAAAGCATCAGAAAGCCGGGAAACCCAGTCTTACCATCCTCTAAAATGTTGGACTATCCTGTGACATCTTTTAGGGTAGGAATTAATGAAGAACCGAAAGTGACTCTCGAAGAGAACATGTTTCCCACATCAGAAGAAGACTGTCTTCAGTCTTTGGCCATGAAACGAGAAGGAGACAGCTGGAATATTTCATGACAGTGGGAAAATTAGAAAGAAAAAGAGGCAGAGGGAGACCGAAAGAGAAGAAGTTGGATAGTTTGACATCATGGCATGGAAGGTCATCTCTGCCAGAAGAGATTGATAGTACACAAGACAGAAGGTTTTGGATAGATATGACTACCAACGCCACATGTCATGGGCTATAGGAAGAGGAAGTGTACAAATGGTTCCACTAGTTGTTTTTCTGCGGTATCGTCACTTACCTTTTCATTTCATTGTATTTTGTCTTTTCCCCTTAAACTTTCGGGATTCTGTGCAATGCTGTTATTCTGCATGTATTTTACAGAGATTCATATACACTTACTCAGTGAAATGTTTTTAAAATGTTTTAATAGATTATTTTCATATATATGTCACAGAGATAAGACATGTCATGTTTCAACATCTGGTTCTTGTTCCTATGCAATATTTAAGTCAAATTTATAAAAAATATATTTATGGGATTTTTAATTTAAAGATATATAAGAACATATCCATGTCGTTTTATGGATTTTTTCTCCTTGTAAAATATTTGTGATGCATTTTATAGGATGGCATTTAAATGTTCAAAGAATGTTTTTTTTACATTTAACCATTGGATTTTGGGTTTGTGTAACAGGTAAAATCAGTAGTCAGCCAGTGTTTCAAATTTGATGTGTTATGGTGTATGGACAACAAGAGACACAGACTTAGGAGTCGTCATTGATAGGCCCACCCCAGGGTAACATAGGCCAGATCAAGGGCCTAAAGGGGAAATATCTTTTTCCTGATGATAAGAAACCCTATGTTGTGCTTGCTCCTTTGTGATGTTTTTACTACAATGTATATTATTATTAGTCATCATTCAGATAGGCCTACCCCAGGGTAACGTAGGCCAGATCAAGGACCCAAAGGGGAATAGT